GAAATCACTGTTTATATCATTCCGTAGTTTATCACCAAGAACACCTGTGTGGRAGCTGAAGGTGATAAGGAAATTTTCAATATATCACTGCTTTCTATTAGCAAGGTGAGAGCATGTATAGAAGTTGCTATCTGTCTCCTATTTAAGTAAGATAAGGGAATTAAGAAGTGGGGTGTGTTCTACCTATGGTTAATATGTRAAATCCCACCTGAAGAGATAAACGCTAAGAAGCTGTAAATTAAATGTAAAAACAATGTCTCAAAAATGTTCACTAAGGTATTTTATCATTCATTTGTATTACAGAGCAAATCTTGTATTATTTTCTTATTTCTATAAAACTTGTTAATGGCCACAGTGAAATATTCACTTATATCACACTTGGGAATTGTGTTTGGGCAGCTTTTGGTTTTTATACTGGATAAGTGCTTGCAAGGATCCGTGGCTGAAAACAGAGAATCCTTAAGAGTGGGTTTGGGCAAACAAATCTTGAGGAATTGTGCTGAGTTAATATTAGGGTTCATCTTCGTAACTTCAAATACAGTGGAAAGAGGACTTGTCCTTTGAAAATACTCATTTTGAAATACTCATTTGAAAACATCCTGAGCTGAGAATGATACAACCTGAGGGGAAGGATGGACTTTGTGGACAGCAGTGGCCTGGGAACCAGGATACCTCTCATGTGCCTTCACAGCTTTTCCTTTCCCTCACAAATAAAAAGTGCCTAAATAGTACTGAATTCCAAAACCTCAATTCTTTTGTGGATCTGTTCATTCCCTTCTTACGTTTGAGCTCCCTGATGGAAATGCCCCTATATTTCTCACTTGTTTTACACTGAAAGCTTCTAAACTGCTCTTTCCCCACGCATCTTCCTGTGACAATGCAATATTGAGCTGCCTCGCTCTGATTTAGTTGGGTSTCTGTATCAGTCCTTCACACACAGAGCTGAAAAGCGTAGAAACACTGTTGTGTAACCTGAGGCATTCTCCTACTTCCACGTTTAGTATGCAAATAGGGAGTCTGGCTTTCGATCTCTTGRATGCCTCAAGCATGTTACCTCTTTTTGAAGAGCTGATTTTGCTTATCTTTTTCAAAACTTCTCAAACATCTGCTTTTCTCCTGCAAAGAGAAAAGAATTCTCAATGGCATAATGCAGACTCTCTAGCATGCTAGCTGGGCTTGGAAAGCCTTGCCAGTCTTGCTCTGTTTTGGTCAGGATTTATCCCTTTAACCACGCTTTTTGACAGAGACTGTACAGAAGTCATGTTTCCTGTTACATGAAACAACCATGAGGCTTTTGTCTAGCTCAGAGATGTGGACTCTGCTTCATCGATTAGCCCTATGCTGAAAAACCCCTGCCATCCTGCTGCTTTTSAGGGTTCTCCTCACAGCTACCATTGTCTCCAGGGTGAGTCCTTGTCTCCTGGTACCAAGACCAATGAGTCTCCCTGGGTGAGCTGAGCTCTCTCTGCCCGTGCCAGGCAGCCTSCATTGCTAGCAGCTGCTTTGCTTCATGAAGGGACTTAAGTGCTGCTTGCACTGAGCTGCAAAGGCTGGACTTGGCAAGTTCCTTGGCTTAATGAGGTCTGCAAACTGTCTTTGAATCCAAGACTCCCATGATGGTAATTGTTAGCACTTTTCAACACAGCAGTCTTTATATGGGGTAAAATATTCAAAAGTGCTTAAGTGAAGGTCAATAAGACCTAGCTATTAAAATAAATAAATAAATAAATAAACCCCACACCCATAATTAACAGATGTTTGTGGTCCTGCAATAAGTGAAACTATTTTAACAGCACTTTGGTAGAATGCYGAAGTAACCCTTTGGTTAAAAAGCAGCATAACTGTGTGGCCTGATGGGAAGGGTTCCCTCCCTGAGAATAAGCAGCCTCTGGGTTCAGGGAACAGCTTACTACACAGACAAACCAAAACAGGACCAAAAGAGGGGTGCTTGGAAGAGCTTCCACCTGCAGAGCTGTACCTTGGAGGARCCTCTTGTCTGCAGCACGATAACCTGCTGCTTTGGAGGCGGCTGGTTCAGGCGGTGACACCTCTCCTCATTTTCCTGTGAGTTGTTCCCACGTCTGGGCAGCACAGAAGAGGCAGCACAGAGAAAAGCTGCACAGCAGAGCGGCTGCATGGACAGTCACAGCCTGGTGGTCCCCCTTGAGCTGAGGGATGGTGAGTGGCATCTCCAGGGAAGGGAGASAGCAGCTTTAAAGACCTCAGGAAAGCRAAGCATTTGTCTCTTGCATACTGGCTACTGAATAAGAAGGGGGAGAACACCAGTTCTTCCTTTATGAAATATAGCCTTTCATTTCCTTTGCTTTTACTACATGTGTATTCCAAAAACGAAGTGTTTCATTTTGGGGGTCAAAAGGAGTTTTTCAGTGCACATGAGGCTCTACTCTTTTCATTTCATGTAAAAAAAATAAGAGTGGGGGAGAGGAGGAAGTTGCATCTGTTTAATGYAAACTTCCAAAATATTTGTAATTCAGCAGTCACAGTGAAAATAAATGCAATTATTCACGCAACTCTACTCATTTGGCACACAGAAGCAGTGATATGATTGACAGCTACAGATATTTCAAGACAATAATTTATGCAGTAAAGTAGCGAGATGGAGCATGGTCATATGCATTTTGGATTCAGCGTTTGTGAGCACATATGATGGAAATCTAGTACAAATCCCACTTGGATTTGAGTTCCTCCTCCTGCTAAAGCCAGCAGCTTGTGCAGTGTATCTGATTGTTACTTGCTTTAGYAGTAATAACCTGGCATAGGCTGGAATGAAAGCTTTTTACAATAAACCTCATCTCCACTGATCTGGCTAGCTTTGACCCAAGTATTAGACAGCTTTCTCCTGCAGGCTGTGGAKGTATGGTGTAAAATGAGAGAACCATTTGCCTTCAGATTGAGCAAATGAAACCCAATTTATGGCAACAAAAACTTGGGAGGCTAACTTTCTATCTCATTTATCCTTCTAAATGTAAATGAAAATCACATGTAAAAATTTATTAATAAAACAACTGTCACTTTTGGTTATTTTAAGCCTGGACTCTGCCAAATGCAAATACAATAAATAACTTTAGGGAGAAAACTGGGTAAGCCAGCCCAAAATCTGCTTTTGTATTTTTTTTTATAGAGATGCCAAGACTGTTTGATCAGCATGGGAGAGCAATTTGTTGACTCACGAACCTAGCTCTCTCTGATTACTGCTTACATAGCACTTTGGAAAGGTTGGCCAAATACCTTCAAGTCAAGTACCTTGTTATTATGAACATGAGTGCCAGTAACAAAGAAAAAATAGCCTACATGTCATTGAATAATAAATCATGGGGGCAAATAAATGGCTTTTGTAAGAAATGCTCTATTTACATTTGGTCACGTGACGTGGCTTTGCTTATGCTTCTGGACGTGATAACACTTAAAAGAATCCTTCCTTTTCACTGCAGCATCTTGGCATCAATCACCCCAGTGCAACTGTGTGTTCTGGGATCTGTTTGCAATCAGGCAAATGAAACAACAAGGGAGATTTAGCGGTAAGACCAATTTTTAGTTGGAGTGCTGAAGCCGTGTAGGTAAACATAGCTGGCCTTACTCAGCGGTCATAAAGTGCCTCCCTCACACGAGCCTTTGGCATAATTACTCATGCAGAACAGGTATTCATCCTCTCTAAGCACCACATAAATGAGGCCATGGCAAAGTTATGCAAAGGAAATATGTATCCAATCTGATAAGAAGTCCCTAATAATTGCTGGTATTTTCCATAATATTAGTTTAGGGCTAGAGCCACAAAAAAGGTTTAGGCATGTAAGCTCTGCCTAACTGCCTTGTAGGCATTTGTGGCCAATATTTAGATCCTCAAAACCCCTGTTCAGCTACTGCCTAACCCTAGAGGCGTCTGAAGTCTGCAAGTGCCTATGTTGCTGCCAGTAAAATTCCTGAGGTGCCCAAAGGTCTGCTCCTGGGCATGCCTGGGACTGCCTCTGTTTTTTTTTTTCTTCTTGTTTTTTTTTTTTTTTTTTCCTCTTCCCTTCCTGAGCTCAATCAGTAGATACTCAGCTCATGTTTAACCCCTGATAGCATTCACCAATGACAGCTCTGACAAATGTCCTTTGAGAAGCCCCAATTTTCCCTGGACCCCAAAAAGCTCCTCAAAAAAACCCCACAACAACAAAAAGTGGTGCAGCTGCTGGAAATAGTGACTTAATCTCTGTCTAAGCTCTCCACAGCGACAGGACACCAGACATCTCACTATGCCAGAGAAGGGACAGAGAGGGGACACTCCCCTCTCATTGCAGTGGACTCCCCCTTTATTGCTGTGCTCCAAGCTAAAGACAAGGATTGTTACCAAGTCTAGAGCATCATGAAGGTTTCCCCAGAGGAGGCTGATGCTCTTTTGCAGGGTGTAGATCTGCCTCTCTTGGCTTTGTGAGGGACATCCCTGAGCTCTGCCCCAGCTGGCAAATGTCCCAATGCCCTCCTGTCCAGCCAGCAGTGCTGTTTCCCTGTCCCAGTTAACACCCTGGGGCCCTGGGCACAGTGTCAGCTTCAGTAGGGAGGGCCTGGGAGCATTGCAGCTTTGCCTGCCTCCAGTCTGGTGATCCAGGCATTTGGCAGGAGTCTGAGGCTGCACTTCTGGAGAGCCAAACCTGCTATCCCTGCTGTCAAAAAGGGGAAGGCCCTTCTGCCTCACCCCACAGTTATGAGCCCTGCCCTCTCTTGTGGCACTTTTGGCCCCACTGGCCTCTACTGAGGTAGTTCAACTTCCTAAAATGCCAGAAAGATTCCCCCTCACACCTTGGCAGGTGTAGCCTTCTGCAGGTTTAGTGAGCGATGTCATTCTGTGAAGGGATCAACCATCCCCAGAGCCGGCTGGGAGAAAGCCTTGTGAGCAGCCCTGCTGGTGGGGRTGAGCTGGTGCCAGCTCCAGGAAAGGTTTCCTTCAGGCATCCCAGAAAACTAACTAAGAAGCCTAACTTTTTTTCTTTTTATTTCAGGGAAGAATTTCAGTGGCTGAGCTGCAAAGTCAGCCTGTGGCCATCYTGCAGAGGAGCTGAAGTTCACAAGAAGTGGCTGATGTTTGTACCCTATGCCAAAGGATGGTACAGACCAACACAGCACAGCTACTTTTTGCCAGCAAGGTATTTCTTCCAGTGTCCTTTTGACTGCCTTCAGATGAACCATATGAAAGCAGGTGTRGAAATGTGCTTCAGAGTAATATGGRTCAGGTGAATGGGATGCATTTCWCCCGATCAAATGGGACCTTGGAAATCAACAACAAGGCAAATGCCAAATGCAGCAGGGAGGAGAGTCAGCAGGAGGAAAGCAAGATAAAAAGTTACAATATAGCTGGGAGGAAGAAGGCAGATCCCTTGGGTCTATTGCTGTTTCCTGGATTTAGCACCCTGCTGCTTCACAGTAAGTGAAGTCACCTCCACTTCTTCAGTAAAAAAAAGCTAGAGAACCTCACAGAAGTTTTATTTTTATCCTTCCTGTTGGGCTTTTAGGAAGGAGACCTCAGCCTGGTTGGATAGAGCTGGGCACCAGCATTTAATATTCCCAGAAGGAGTGCAAATGACTCAGGCTTGGAGCTGTAATTCACCTTTCTCAAAGTGCTAGGATTCTTTGGAGTCGAGTTGCTGTGCACAGGTAGGTGGCTGTATAATTTYAAACCTGATACTGATTCATCTTTTACTTTGGTGAAGAAACAACAGAAGAAATTTTTTCTGTGGCCATCCAGACTTGAATGAATTGTGCACACACATGTACAGTTTCCAGTTCTTGGATGTATTCTTTGACCATGGTTGTACTGGCAGCATTAGGAGGTGAATCCATAACTTCCCAACGCATAGGCCAATAGCCACTATGTAGCAGAGGTTATGYTTGGACCAGAGSGTGGTTGRGCACTGGAACAGGCTCCCCAGGGCAGTGATCACAGCACCAAGCCTGGCAGAGCTCAAGATGAATTTGGACAATACTCTCAGACACATGATGTGATTCTTGTGCGGGGTTAGGAGTTGAACTTCATTGATCCTTGTAGGTCCCTTCCAACTCAGGATATTCTAGGRYTCTAAGSAAMTGTGGCAGTTGACTGGCATGGCTGATGAGTTTTGGGTTTGAGAGCGGTGTCCAATGCACACAGTGCAAGTGTGAGAAGGACAGGACTTGCTCTTCACACCTGCTGGTGGCTCCTTCGATTAATGCTAGCTCAACTACATGGCATCTCTTATTTGGTCTCAAAAATAAACACTTAATTTCTTTGACTTTTCAATAGCTTCATATGGTCACCTCATGTGAATATCACATATTTTGGTAGACATGGTACCGAACAGCAGGAAAATGCACCCAAYTCCTTTTCTGTCACATGTATGTTTACCTTAGGATTTTCTGTCAGTGTTGAGTGCTCTACAACCCCCTCTGCACGTCTGTGAACTCTTACAGCACCAAAGGCAGAGTCCTAAACCACCTGAAGGGGCTTCCTGATGATACAGAAGTGCATCATTAACAGTGTGCCATGTCCAATGAGAAAAAAAAAAATGGTTTGCTGTTCAGATGTTTGATCCTTGYGGCTTCTACCATGTGAGGGGCTTAAAATGCCTTTTTCTTTGCTTTCTCTGTATCTCCCCCAATTTCGGGCATGGCACAAACCATGTTTTTTCTCAATAAAAGAATTCAATGYGTGTTAAATAGTGTTGTCAGCTTCTGCTCTCTTATAACAGCTTGAATTTAAGGCATGTATTAGAGGTCTCTGGTGTTCCTGCTCTCTCCCCTGCTCTCAGCTCTGCTACTTAGTCTGCGAGAAAACGTGTCCTCCTGGTAGTGCCATATTAGAAAGGAGGGGTGAGTGTTTCCTGTCYAGTGGAGCTATCATCAAGTTTCAGTGCAAATAAAGCTGAAAGGGGCTGCAGATTGAGAGGCTTTTCTGGTGAGATTTGCTCTGTACATTTGTTTTTATAGTACTATGGTTGCCAATCAAAGAAGCAAGAAAGTCACTGCTTAATCCAATGCAGACTAAACAGCAAGGGGACTGGTTATGGGAATTTGCTTACAAAGAGATTTCCTGTTCTGTTTGGAGGTCAGTCCCAGTWAAAATAAGATAGTGGAGGGATTTACTTGGTCCCTCAATGTATAAGTGTACRAGTGATAATCCCAAGTTAGCACATGAAGAACATGGGCAGGAATCTGAAAAGCACCCACAGGGCAAGATTTTCTCTCAGTTGTTTGAGGTGGAACCCTTTCAAACAGGCAAACAATCCTTGTCTTGGTTGTCTTGTTTTTCAGACCATAATAAGGRTATAGATCCTTGAAAGACAAATTATGGCAGGTTATTCTTTTACAATCATACTGGCAAGTTTTTCTCTTAGGGATGAACTAAACTGTTAGACAGCAAATGTTTTACAACCTCATTTTCTTTTGGTTGTCCTGAATTTTCATATAAATAAGGGAGTAGTCACTTGAACAAAAATCTAGTCTTCTGGCATAATTTTAGAAATTAGTTAGAATATCAAATTGCTTCATCTAATGCAATCACACTCTTCTAAGTGAGAAGAATAGAGCAGGTTTGTTATTTATGTTGCCTTGGGGAACTCCAGGATATGTTTTATGTAATCACACCACAATGTTATGGTAAAGTTAGAATGAAGCTGAGGTCAAGAGTCATTCACTCAGGACACCCCTGGGCAGCAGTGGCCAGTGCGTAAAGAAGCACAGCCTGGGAACTTTTTCCATGAGGCAGTGAAAGTTTGCTCTTTCTGTTTCCCTCTGAAGAAGCAGAACTGAAGCTGCTTTTCCAAAGGGACTTTAAATTAACATCTTCATCCTTCCTATACTGCATAACACAAGTTCTGCAAGAACAGTTTCAATGATGGTCAGATTGTCACAGGTTAATTTTCCAATGAGGAATTTTCCAAGCAAAAATGCAATTTCCATGCAAGTGAGCTGGTGCACTGGGAGGGGCTATTGCCATCCAGCAGCGTGGTTAATGAGTGATGCAGTTATTTGGCTCACTACTCGTATGCAGGCCTTCCCTTTTCCTCTGAGGAAAGGAGCAAAGATGGGCTTTTCCACCTTGCCATGGTTTTGTTCCCTTTAATTTTTATTTGCATTCAGAAGCATACRGGCACCTGTTGTTAGCTCTGATGCGTTTCTGGCCTTCATATCTATATATCCACATGRAAATGCTGATCAAAATTTGAAAAAAAACATTTAAATTGAAAATTTGTAGTTTAGTTCTTAAGATACAGACTTTTGATGAACAAATGCAGGTTACTGTGATGAATGTGGTTGTTGCCTGTTGTGACACTAAAATTCCTTTCATATTTTGAGATTCCCTTCAATATTTTGAGATTCATCCATTTAGACTTATATAAGCTGGAGGTGAGATCTGAGAGGAATCTTCTTTTAGAGTGAGGAGAGGGATAGTTGTAGCAGATCATTTCTGTTCCAAATATATGTTTGATTCTTTTTTGCAGCCCTGGCCAAAATCTTYGTCTGTACTTGCATGTACATCAAATTGTCAAGCAAGTATAATATATTATTATACTCATTATTTCTGAGTCTCCTGGTGTAATGTCAAATCATGTGATRCTTGTGTTCATCTGCACTTTGTCTTTATGGTGACATGGATGGCAAAGCCAAACAAGAGAAATGAGAGAAGGAGTCCTAGTTTGACAATGAGGTCTGTGCTGCATTTCTTTAGCTGGTAAATTGAATGTTAATATTAAATTTTGCTCATATTAATTATCTTTGCTTGTATATGTTGACTTGGTCACTAAGTGTCGATTTCTCCRGTTATTTGCTTTACTAAATCATCCATTTCTTTATTTGGATATGAGATATAGTGCTTCATAGTTCTGGGTGTTAATCTTGTTGTCTAAATCAATCCCTACGTATGACATTGATCTGTTTGGCATCTCTTRAAAGCATTCTGCAGATTTCATAATCTCATTCATCCTTGCTTTGAGTTTCCTCATATGAGAACAATTASAGTTTTAGCCAAATACACAATGCTGTCATGTGGAAAGAGCTGTGACATATCAATATTGATTGCTGGTGGTGATTCTAACTGTACCRACTCAAATTTGTCAGTGTTTTCTGTCTGAAGTTGCTGCATTTATGCTTTGTGCACCAGCTTGTTGCTGTTAGCTTCCTTGGTGTTTCTTAGGTTTGTGACTATTTTTTTCTTTAAGTTAGGGCTTCAGTTTTGCCACATGTCAGTTAGAGTAATTTCCCATTTCCTCTGTAAAATTAGATGCTGGAAAGATGATTCAAATTTCCCTCTGCCGCACAGGTTGGCTGATCTGGCTGGCAGCAATTCTACCCCAGGGAGTTCCACRCATGGATGCTATTGCTTCCAGTTATGAAGCAGGGTACCAGCCCCAGTTCCACCAGTCTTCCTAAATTCTGAATCCACCRAGAACAGCTTGAAGCTCAAGAGGAGGCAAAAATGCCAATTTCAGCCCAGAGACATGGCTGGGATCTCCACCTAACTCTGAGCTGAGAAAACAGAGGCACCACCACATCTGCCTCTTCCTTCCACAGGTGGGAAGGCAAACACAGAGCATGGGAGGTGCCTCCCCTACCTGGAAGGGTGAGGGGAGGTTTCTGAGGGGACATTTGAGGGTCACTATGGCTCTCAGCAAAGGCCAGTCCCAGTCAATTCTTTGAAGAAAAAGCTGGCAGAAGTGTCACCCCCTCCCCAGGAGCRGTGCAGTCTCCCCAAGTGCCACACATCCCCCAAAGTGCTCTTTGCTTTAGTCCTCAGTCTTTTTTCTGCTCTTACATGGAAGCTGTTAGTGTTAGCTGAAGCACCTTAAATGGGCTGCTTTGTTAATTTCTCCCTCAGTACAAAGCTGAACTTTGTCTTAAGTAAAATACAGTTCTATGCAAACTAATAATAAAACTGCAACCTCTGTACTCAATTTTTCCCCAAGTGGCACAATCTCTAGGTCTTTATGGAGTTTATTATGCTTTATTCCATAAAGAACATTTTTACTTTCAATGTTTTGTGTGCCTGAAATAGGAAAATATTTCATGTGATGTTTGGAAACAAGAGTAGCTATGCAATCTTTTTAAAAAAAAATGTCTTTTGACAACCTCCATAAGATTTCTAATATATTTACTTTGAAATTATTTTGGATTCACTCTATGGTTCCTACAAATTAAAGCTGATACAAGTCATGTGTTGTATTAAGTACTCCCCCAAAAATTCAGTTACTTTTTAATCACTGGCCTGTCCAAACAATGAATTTGTTTCTCTGTTATCTGGATAACAATGGCCAGCCACAATGTATTTTGTTTTATTCTTTTGAAGTACTTTCTTAAAAACTTGCATTTCACTCTGATGAAACTTTTTGTAAACTGGTAAACATCTGAATGTAACTAGGGAATTTTAAAAGATTTTACTACTATCACTATTGTAAATTTTGTAACATACAGAGCCATAAAACTCTAAAATGAAAGAAACATTAAAAGCCAGCATGTTCTTCCGTAYGCAAATTTTCATTGTTTCCCCAACATATATCACTTAAAAATTTTCTAAGGTTATGGCTTTGGCTACCAAAGAATGTTAGTGAGTGTTCGTATTGAAAGATTGATTCTCTTGATCAGAATTTTAGTTACACAGGGGAAACAGTGTAATTTATTCCGAA